GTTTCGTTGCGCCGCCCCCCCTGCTGCTGCTGCTGCTGCTGCTGCTGCTGCTGCTGCTCCATCTCCTGAAGGCAAAATGCCCACTGCCACAGAGTCCTCATCTGCTTCTGCTGCTGCTGCTGCTGCGGGATCGTCTCCTCTCACACTGGCCTCTGCTGCTGTGGAGTCGTCCCGGCCTGCTGCTGCTGCTGGAGAGGTGCGGGTGCTGTCCTGCTGCTGCTGCTGCTGCTGCTGCAGCTGCAGCTCCTTCTGCTGCTGCTTCCGTTCTTGCTGCTGCTGCTGCTGCAGCTCTTTCTGCTGTTGCTTCCGCTCCTGCTCCTGCTGCTGCAACTCGTGCTGCTGCTCATACCGCTGCAGCGGCGAACGAGATATGCTCAGGTGGTCCTCCATGGCGGCCCAAACCCTAAACCCTAAACCCTAAACCCTAAACCCTAAACTCTAAACTATTCAACGGATTTCAAAGACTTTTCATGTACAGACGGTAAAACACCACCTCATCGTGGTGTCCTTGCTGCTGCAGCTGCTGTTGCTGCTGGTGTTGCTGCTGCTGCTCTTGCCCTTGTTGCTGCTGCAGTTCATGCGGGTTCTGCTGTTGTCTTTGTTGCTGCTGCTGTTATCGCTGCTACTATTGCCGCCGCTAGTGCTATTGTTGCTGTTGTTGTTGCTGTTGCCGCTGCTGTTGCTGCTGCTGCTGTTGTCGCTGTTGTTGCTGCAGATGCTGTTATTGCTGCTGCTCTTGCTGCTGCTGCTGCTGTCGCCGCTGCGGTTTCCGTCGTTATTGTTGTTGTTGTTTCTGCTGCTGCTGCTACAGCCGTCGGTGTCTTTGTCGTTGCAAGTGTGCTGCTGCTGTTGCTGCCGCTGTTGCTGCTGCTGTTGCTGCTGTTGCTGCTGCTGTTGCTGCTGTTGCTGCTGCTGTTGCTCGGGTCTGCTGCTCGGAGACTCACGCTGGGCTGTGTCTCCCACGAGTCGTGGGGTGTACGTACACGTGAGACGGAGGCAACGCTTCTGTCTTCCAGGAATTAGGGTGTAGGGTTTAGGGTTTAGGGTTTAGGGTTTAGGGTTTGGGGCCCGGAGGTCCTAGCTCCGCTGGTGCAGCTGTGGATACAGTGTGTTGCGGTGTATGTACACTGGAAAGGCGGGGGGCGGAAAGCGCAGAGACGAAGCAGAGTCTATCGGTGGAGGAGCCCCGGGAAGTTGCTGCTGCTGCTGCTGCTGCTGCAGCTGCTGCTGCTGCTGCTGATTTGCTTCGGATAGTAAAAAGTAAACTTTGAAGGAAACTGCAGAAAGAAGGGCCCCGAGATCGGGAGAAGACTTCAGTTTGGGAGGTGGAGGGGCCCCCTTGCTGCTGCTGCCGATGCTCCGGGGGGCCCCCCAGCTGAGCGTTGCTGCTGCTGCTGCAGCGGCTGCTGCTGCAGCGGCTGCTGCTGCTGCGCCATGTGTACACGTTATGCATGCAACAAATCCCTTTTTGATGGAGAAGATTCATTAGTGGCGTTTGGAAGGAAATAAAAGACAAGGAACGGGCAGGGAGGTGTACGTACACTGCAAGCCGCAACTGCCTGTACACCCAACCACTGCTGCTGCTGCTGCTGCTGCTGCTCTCCCTGCTCCTTTTTGGCGCATTTTTCGTCTTTTCGCGCAAAAGTTGAATTAAAATAAATTAAAAAAGAGAAGTAATTATTTCCCTTTCCACCGTCCTCAGTTTCCGCCGCCGGAGGCCCAGGCGGCTCAGCTGCGTGTAGCTAGCCGCAGCAGCAGCAGCAGCAGCCGCCGCCGCCGCAGCAGCAGCAGGCGCAGCGCC